TGGTTGACCATGTGGAACTGTCCAGCACCTTAACCACCACACCACCTGCTGGCCTTATGCTTATGTTTTAAGGAAATCACTGACATAACTATTTCTCTTTTCATTTCCTTCTTATAGGTGAAAATGCGTGGAAAAGACTTTTTTGAATTTCTTTGTCAACTAATTCTGAAAGAAACAGGCCAAAAAGAACAGTTTCCCCAAGGAGCTCCAAGCAACTGTCTGGAAGCTTCTTTGGCAGAGATATTTCCTTTAGGAAAAAACCACGGCTCCGAATTTAATCCGGACAGCGGCGCCCCAGAATTAGTAGCCAGCGTCTTAGTTGTGAGTCACGGCGGCTACATGAAAGGGCTGTTTGAGTATTTTGTGACTGACCTCAAGTGCTCCTTACCGACAACTCAGAGCAAGTTCGAACTCACGTCAGTCAGCCCGAACACGGGGATTAGTGTCTTTGTCGTAAACCTGGAGGAAGGAGAAGTCGTGAGGCCAGCCATGCAGTGTGTGTGTTTGAACCTACAGGATCACCTGGGTAAAATGACTGAAGCTCACTGAGTTTAAGCCTCCAGCAAAGTCAAGCACTTTTGAAGATTCTGAAGGGAGTGCCTTTGGCTTTATTTATTCATGTTCTTCGCTAGTGCTGATTTGGAAACAGTTCAAGAGTAGGTTCAGAAGCCCCAGTGGAATCATAGCCACAGAAAACAATGATGGAAATCCATTTAGAATAGACTTTGTCTCCATACAGCGGGGCACTCTCCAGAGTAACTCCTCCACCCTGCGCCGTTTTGTCTCTGGAGGAAGGAACCCCGTATTGCACGTTGAGGGGTTAATGACCTGGTTGCTATCTCTCCCACCCCTTTTTTTAATGTTGATATTTTACTTGATTATTTTTTCTTTTTTAAAATTTAATTTGATTTGATTTGATAATTATATACATTTAATTGTACGTCTTTATGGTGTACAATACGGTTTTTCACAGCATGCAGGTAGTGTGTGGTAACCCAATGAAGAATGTTACCATATGCATCATTTTCAACAAAGACCCTTACGTTCTTGTATCTTCTGAATGCTTTTTCTCTGAGCCCCTCCCCTGGCTCCTATTACTAGCCCTCTTCCCATATTTCCCAATGTCTGAACAGTTTAGGCTGTTTTATTGATAAGATACTGTACTTTTTTTCCTATTTCATTCAGTGCTTAGGAGAAAGAACTGTTTATAGCTCCCACTGTATATTTACGGAATGATGTTATATTTACAAAGTGCTTTACATGAAAAAGTCCTACCATCATAAGTTTATGTAAAGTAAAATGCTAAAATAAATGACACTAAACTTTGTTATATAGACATCAACTATTAGAAGAAAAAGAAGTCCACAGTTGGAATTTTTTGTTCTAGAGGGCTCGAGATGTGGGTAGATGTGGATGATGACTGTGGAGTAGTTGGGGGACAGAGAAGGTAAACGTCCTCTATTGGAGCATGTGAAGGAAGGGATCTCTGAGTGGGAACTAAAGAGCAGCTTTTTCTAAATGATACCTTGCAAAAGACAAGTCAGTGCAAGCCAAGAAAGCACTCCCCAACACCCCAAGAACGTTTGACTAAGAGAATGAAGACAAATAGCTACTTTTCTTTTTTTTTGGAGGGGTTTTCGCTATAGGGCGCATGCGCTCGCCAGACAGACAGAGACAGAGAGACAGCGAGAAATCACCCCCCAGGGGGGATGGTCATGCCACAATTCCTTCTCCTCCATTCTCCTGAGATCTTGCGCATGCACGCACACGCGCCCGGTGTGAGTTCTAAGCCACTGGGGCCAGGACATGACCCGCAGTCGACTACGTGGGAGTCCAGCGACATAGCCGTTACGCTAACTGCTGGTTCCCAACAAATAGCTGCTACTTATCTAAGCCATAGGCTGAATAATTTCCGGTCTGAAGAAGACTCCACAAAAAGTAAAGCGTTAATAGTGTACTACATAGTACCTTCAGCAAGGAAAGGTGCATTTTTGAGAAGAAAGTCGGTCTCATCACCACTACTGTGGGCCTTTGTGGAAGGTGCATGTGAGATCGTCTTTTCTTTCCACCAGATGGCACTAGAGACTACATGTGCATGAGACCAGTCCTTCAAATGTCCTTATCGCAGTGAAGACACTTTATATGCAGATAGCTTTAAGTCACTGTTTGTGAATGCTGTGAGTCTCAACTCAGAAGAGTTGGATTAATACTAAGGTCAGGTCAGATTGAACTGTATAGCCCAAATTTACTTGACTATTATTTAAGTCATATATTAAGTCCAGTATTACAGTGTTCTCGGGGCATTCAGCACGTGCATTTTCCTACCAGTATTGGAACACAGAGCATGTATTGGAGCACTAGAGGAAGTAGAATGTCAGTAAAAACTTGGAAAAAATAATGGAAAAGATCAAATAATAAATAGTCATTTTTCTAACTCCAAAAGTAGTAACTCTCCCTTTTTGAAAGAAATGAAACATGAAGCTTTAAGTGGAGTTTCCTAACAGTTCTCACAGTTCCGTTCTGCTGCAGAAGCACCCACTGCCATGAGTGTATATGTTCATCTTTTTTTTTACGTTTTTACCTTGTGTTTCAGGAAATGGTATTGTGTGGAGCTTTCAAATGTACATAAATATCGGGACCAGCAGATGGCCTAATGACTATGTCACTAGACTCCCATGTAGTCAGCCACGGTTCAAGTCCTGGACCCAGTGGCTTAAACTCACGCCTGGTGCGTGTGTGCACATGCCCATGATCCTGAGAGGAGAATGGAGAACAGATTGCGGCGTGACCACCCCCCAGGGGGTGATCTCTCGCTTTCTGTCTGGCGAGTGTACATGCCCTATAGCAAAAACCTCTCAAAAAAAAAATTACGTAAATATCAAACTGTCTGTATTCTTTATTTTTTATTTACTATGTCTTTGGGGTGCTATCTAGCTAAATATAATCACTAGTTTACTGAATAAATATAGAACATTTTGTTTATTTAGGTATATTCAGTATTTTTCAATAGAAGCAGTGCTACTATTGTGTCAGAGATGCGCACTTGAGCCAGCTCTGTGCCTCAGGCCTCATGTGCTATTCAAGAGGGCTGGAGTCCACATTGTGACCACGGTTAGAATCCCTGGCCTAGTCGGCCTGAGACTTGCCATGCATGTGTGTTCGCCCAAGATCCAATGGGCTTGAGGACTGGAGGAAGGAAATTACCACTTGAGTAGGTCCTGTGGAGAGTTCTCTTTCTCTCTTGCATGTGCACATGCATGCCCACACTGTATCACGAATAAAGGAAAAACCATTTAACAAACCAAAAAAGACGTGCATCTCCAGATTTTATAAGGGCCAGACATTCTTCAGAGTGGCTGTTTTCAGTCACACTAGCAGTATTTGAAGTTCCTATTTTCCACATTTTGTCCACACTTGTTACTGTGTCTAATTTCTAGTCTGATGAGTTAAAAAAATTGTTCTTCAATAAGCTTTTCTGTGATTGCTAATGAGACTAGGCATTTAAAAAATATGTGCATTGACAGTTCTAATTTATTCATTGATACATCCCTGGTACTACTTTTCCTATTTTTTCTGTAGGGTCATTTGGCTTTTTCTTAATGAGATGAGGTATGATTTTATCGTCCTGGGTATTAGTCTTCCCACTGATAAGTATATTGCAAAATCTTCCAATTTGTTACTTGTCTTTTAGACCTGTTTCTGATATATTTATATCATGGGTGTTTTTAATTTTTTAAAAAGAACTATGTTTTTATTATTTTTCAGTTTTGACCAGGGAGAAATAAAGAACAAGCCGCCAGATCTGGGACTTGAACTGCAGCTGGCCATGTGGGAGTCCAATACCTTTAACCAGCATGCCACCTGCCAGCCCCACATGTTTTTAATTTTTAAGTCAAACCAATATGTCTTGTCCTTTATTTTTAAATTTTAATTTATTTTAGTTTTTGCTATAGGGTACATGGACTCAACAGAGAGGGAGGGTGAGAGATAACCCCCTCCATGGGGGATGGCCACGCAGCAATCTCTTCTCCATTCTCTTCTCAGGATTTTAGGCATGCACGCACAGGCGCCCAGTGTGATTTTCAAGCTGCTGGGTCTGGGACTCAGACTGTGTAGTTGGCCATGTGGAACCCAGCCACTCTGACCTCCATGCCACCTGGTGGCCTATCCTTTGTTCTTATTTTTTAGTGTATAGCTTTAATAAGCTTCCTCTACCATAAGGTCATACAACAACCTCTTTTATTCTTACAGGTTTAGATGATTTTTGAATGTCAGATCTTAACATTTTCTCAAATTTGTTTAGAACACAAGGCATGAATTCAGTTATGTTATTTTCCACATGGGTGAAGCTGCAATTGCAGCACCATTGTTTTCCTCCTCGGTCTGCGATTCTCTGCTGTCATGCTCTCACACATCCACATTTGCTGCGTGCCATGTGTGGACACCATTCTGTTCTACGTGGCTATGTACTCACATGTCAGTATCTTACTCCATTACGGTGGCTTTGCAACTGAAATCTTGAAGGGCAAGTACTTCTTGTTCATGTCTGTAGTTTAATCTTAGCTGCTTGTCTACCTTTATTCCTTGTACGTTTTAGAATCAATTGATCAATTTTCAGAAATTCGGTTGCAGATTTCACTGGAACTGCACGCATTTGTTTATCTCGTCATGAAATAAAAATGTTTCTGAGTGTGGCACGCCCATGCCAGAACTAATAGAACTGTCGTAAAAACTCTGACTGTGTAGCAATGAATGAAAAGACGAAGTCCCAGCCTCGCGAGTGTGTGTTCTGCTAGGGGTGGACGGTATACCAAGTGGCAGTGCCGTTGAGAAGACTACGGCAGGGTTAGGGGGATGGAGACAGGAGGGAGAAATGCTGCTTTATTTAGGGTGAGTGGAAAGGGCTGGGTTGATGTCGGCTCTGGGCCAGTGAGTACTGCTGACCTCTGGGAGAAGAGCAGCCCTGACAGGAGTGGAGAACAGGTCATGAGGAGGGTCCTGCAAACCCAGGTGACCGAGCAAGGGGAACGAGTGAGGAGAGGAGGGCAGAGAGGAGGGTGGGGAAGTTCATGAGCATACGTGGCTGGTGGCCTGTGGGTCTGTGCCAAGGACTTGGGCCTTTACCCAAGTGAGGTGGGAAGCCAATTGAGCAGGGAAGTGACTCAGTCTGGTTTGAGTAGTAACGTCCTGGTTGCTGTGTGGAGAGTGGGCTGTAGGGGGCACTGCAAGAGCGTGAAGCTGGAGGCCTGGACACTGGCAGGGGCCAGATTAGGGTGTCTCCAGTGACAGACCGCAAGTCTGGACGTGAGGTTTCTAGATTCACTCAGAGAAGAGTTGTTCTCTTCCTGTCTGTGAAGACCATAGACCTCTCAGTTTTCCTGAGTCTTAGCCAGTGAAGCTTTGTCATTTTCTTTGTAATGTCTTTTTTTTTTTTTTTTTTTAAAGAAAAGTTTCAGGGACCAGCACTTGATGTAATGGTTATGTCTCTGGACTCCCACATGACCGACCACAGTTTGAGTCCCAGTCCCGGAGGCTTGAAATTCACAGCAGGCATGTGTGAGTGCGTGCCCCAAATCCTAAAGAGATAATGAAGGAAAAGGGATTGTGACATGGCTGTCCCCCTGGGTGTGTGTGATTTATAGCTTTCTGTCTGTCTCTGTCTGTACACACATCCTATAGCAAAAATCTCTCTCTTTTTTTTCTTTTTTAAAGGTTTTAGGTTCACAACAAAATTGAGAAGAAAATACAGAGATTTTCCATCTCTCTCCTGCCCTCCACATAGATAGCCTCCCCTATTACCAACATCCCCCACCAGAGTGGGACATGTGTTTCAGTTTAACCTCCGTTGATTTTGGGGTGACCATGATCACCCAAATTCTGTGTTTACATTGGGCTTGACTCTTGGTATTGTACACTCTGTGAGTTTAGACAGATGTGCGATGACATATCCTCCATTAGAGTGTGCAGGGAATTTTCACAGCCCTGACATCATCCCCGCAGGCCAGACCATGGTGCGGTGGTTAAGGTGTCTGGATCCCACATGGTGGCATGGCTTGATTCTGGGTTGGTGGTTTAAAATATATGCCAGGTGTGTGCTCAAAATCCCAAGAAGCGAAGTAGAGAAGGGATTGTGTTGAGGCCTTCTCTCTCAGGGAGTGATTTCTCTTTTTTTTCTCTTTGTCTCCAATGAGAGTGCATGCAGTCTAGGACATTAAAAATAATGATGATGAAATTTTAGGGAGAAATTCCTCTCTGCTCCCTTGCCTGTTTTGGTTGGGTTTAGGCCAGGACCCAATGGGGGAAATGGGCAGAAACTCACATCAGACTTCACCCCAAGGCTCATAGCTTCAGGTACAGTCTGCCACTCAGTCTCCCTGCCCCTGGAGTGGA